GCTTCAGAGGTCCTGGCTGTGGCTCTCATGGGACCTCTACCAAGAGACCACTGAAACAGACCCTGGGGGAGAAAGGTGAGCAACTTATCTCCGTCTTCATTCATCAAAGTTTCCCCAGTGAGCAAACTCCCACATTTCTGGGCTGCGTTACCAGCCCTCACACACTTCGGGGGAAGCAGGGGCTTCGACAGGTCCATTTGGATCAAGCTGCAGCAGCCCCAGATAAGAACCCAGTGAAAGCCCTGCCTCTAGGATCAGGCCTCACGCCAGGCAAGCACGAGACAACCAGGGTTTTACGAAGGTGCACCCTAGGGGCGGTGGTCTAGGCAGACTGCAGGGAGCCACTGCAGGAGCTGTCCCCAAAGAAGTGACAAGCAGCCAAGCACCCAAAGCCTGGGATGGGGGACCAGCTGATACGGAGAGTCCCATAAAGGAGGTCTAGAATAAGAGGTGATAATATACCAACTGAATTAAAAGAGCTGTTTCATTTCTAAGAACGTCATAGATACACAGAGAAAACTTGAAGCAAACAGTTTCTACCTATTAATTCTGTTCATGTGGTGATCTCACCTGACCTTCATAATAAACAAGTTAGATCTGTGAGGTTCAGGTGCTACATCAGGTCGAGATGTGTGTGGACAACCTCGTACAGAAAACGCAACCTGCACATCTGCACAGGCATCCTCTGAACAGATCATGGGCCAATTCATAATACACTCCTCAAAGGCAGATACCACCCTTTAGAAAATAGTAACTTCAAGTTCAAATCCAAAACCCAAAGACTATCACTCTGATCCTACCCTCTGGGTCGTCAATGCAAAAGTGTTATATAGTTCGGGGGAAAAAGAAAAAGCTCAATCCTGTATCTTATAATAATGACATCCTGTGCATTAAAACTTAGTGAATTCATTACATTCTTTTTTAAAATTTTTAAATTTTCATGTGTTTTAATTAGTTACACATGACAGTAGAATGCATTTATGCACTTTGATGTATCATACACAGATGGGATATAATTTCTCTTTTTCTGAGTATATGTATTGTAGCATCACATCGGTCACACAGTCATATATATACATAAAACAATAATGTCTGCCTCATTCTACTATCCTTCCTATCCCCACGCCCCCTCCCCTCCTCTCCATTCCCCTCCCTTCACTTCCCTCTACCTAATCTAAGGTAATGCTATTCTTCTCCAAGGCCTCCTACCTTATTGTAAATTAGCATCCACATATTAGAGAAAACATTCAGTCTTTGGTTTTGGGGGATTGGCTTATTTCACTTAGCATAATATTATCCAACTCCATCCATTTACTGGCAAATGCCATAATTTCATTATTCTTTAAAACTGAGTAATATTTCATTGCATATATATATATATATATATATATATATATATATATATACACACACACCATATTTTCTTTACCCATTCATCTATTGAAGGACAACTAGGTTGGTTCCATGGTTTAACTATTGTGAATTGAGATGCTATAAACATTGATGTGGCCGCATCATTGTAGTATGCTGATTTTTAAGTCCTTTACGTATAAACCAAGGAGAGGGATAGCTGGGTCAGACAGAATCTCCTTACTGCTTTCCACAGTGGTTATCCAATTTGCAGTCCCACCAGCACATACACCAATAGCCCAGAATAGAGGACACAGAGACAAACCCACACAAATATTGTTATCTCGTTCTAGACAAAGGTGCCAAAAATATTCACTGGAAAAAAGTTAGCCTTTTCAACAAATAGTGCTGGCAAAACTGGAAATCCATATGTAGCAAAATGAAATTAAACCTCTATCTCTCACCCTGTACAAAAATTAACTCAAAGTGGATCAAAGACTTAGGCACTAGAAAGAGACCCTGTGCCTAATAGATGAAAAGTAGGCCTAAATCTTCACCACGTCAGCTTAGGATCTGACTTCCTGAACAAGACCTCTAAAGCACAAGCAGTAAAATCAAGAATCAATAAATGGAATGGATTCAAATTAAAAGGCTTCTTCTCAGTAAAAGAAACAATAATATGAGAGCCTACAGATTGGGGGAAAATCTTTACTGTACACACCTACAATGAATCATTCACCTCTAGGATATATAAAGAATGCAAAAAACTTAACACCAAAAAAAAAAAAAAAACAAATAACCCAATCAATAAATGGACTAAGGAACTGAAGAAGAAATACAATTGATCAACAAATATATGAAAAAGTGTTCAAAATCTCTAGCAATTAGAGAAATGCAAATCAAAACTACACTAAGATTTCATCTCACTCCAGTCAGAATGGCAATCATCAAGAATACAGGCAACAATAAATGTTGGCAAGGATGTGGAGAAAAGGATACAATCATACATTGCTGTTCTTTCATATATATTGTCTTATTTAATCCTCATAAACACCCTGGGATTCAGGGTACATTACTGCCTATTACAGACAAGGAAAAAGATGTCCGATCTGCCCACAGCCAGCATCTGCACTCTGGTGGTGTGACCTCAGAGCTCAGTCATGCAGCAGAAATGTGGATTCCTGCAGGAACCTGGAAATAGAGGTGCTGGCCACACCTGGCCCCACCTGTGTGGAGTTTATGCTTTACGGGAGAGATGCACATTGAACAAGCAACCACACACAGATGAAAGGGCAACAATGCTATGGATGTTCAGGGTGGCTTTGGCTATGGTGCCACCTCTGTGGTCACAGTAGTATAAACTGTCAAGGTCAAATCTGCAAGACCACATATTTAGGAGAAAATAGAAGCCAGGAAGCACCAGAAAATACAAGCTAGGAAGAGCCAGCATTTCTGAGACTACATATATTTTGTAAGTTCAGTGATTATTTTTCAAGCCCAAACAGGTTCTCACAAATGATGTTTCCAGTATGTGATCTAATTTACATGAAAAAATATTACCCAGGCTTTAAAGTTCAGTGAAATTAATTATGCATTTATGTCATCATCTTCATTTTAAAAGAACAAAATACATAAACCCTGGTTCTGCTCAGGAAAATACAAGAGTCCTGATCATTTTAAATAAATACAGCTTTTTTGCATAGATAATTCTGTGATAGAAGGATAAACGTCATCCTACAGAATACGCTTTGGAAGAAGTGACTTCACAGCATTCTTGAGAGAGTGTGACATAGCCGTAAGGAGCCCAGATTGGAGCATGAGGCCAGCAGGGCCTGGGTACCATCTCTGACACTTACTATGCATCATTGAGCAGATTTCTTAGCTTCTGTGAGTCTGATTTCTTCATCTGTAAAATGTGATAAAATGGTTCATACCTCAGAGAGCCCTTCTGAAGGTTAAATGAGATCATGCATGCAGAGTGCTTAGCATATTATTACTGATTATTCCCCCAAGTAGTTTACATATTAAAAGAAATACAAAAATAAGAAATAGCGAGCGGATGGTGTGCGAGTGAGATGTTTGAAATGTGCCCAGAAGCCTGGCTCCAAAGGCCACCGATGACACTGAAGTTGGGGGAATGGAAGAGACTCAAAAGCCCCAGTGCAGAGCCCTCACAGGAGAGCCAAGGGCAGATGGGACAGGAGGCAAGTGATGATACAGCTAGCTCACATGACAGAGAGCTTCGGTGTGGACAATTAAAGTGACAGTCCACCCCCAGCCTTCTTTTCCCCTGTCTGAGCACCACTGAAACCATGTGAGTGGGGACAGGAGACAATTCACAGCAACACTCCTCTCCGCTGCCACCCTGCCTGCTTGTCCTTCCCCTCGACAACAGGTGTCTGCAGCCTCAGGTACGCCCAACCTCGGGCTACAGGTCACATGAAGATAAAAGCCACATGGCCCAAGGGACCTGAAAAGTATCCACAGTGGAGACTTTTCTTAAAAGAGAATTAAAAAAAAAAAAAAAAACGAGCTTTGCAGCTCTCCGGCCTTGGCGAGACGCAGCCCCTGGGCCCAGACAGCTCCAGTCAACACCTGCCCACTGCGTCCCTCTGTGGCTCCTGACCCCTGCTCCAAGAGCCACCAGCAACATCCTCCCCTTAATTCTAGAGCTGGGGAAACGGAAGCTCAAAAGAGTGAGGGACTAGTCCAGAGCGACGAGAGGAGCAAAGCAGAGCCAGAACCAGCCAGCTTCCTGATGGCCGCTCAGGTCCTCTTCACCAACACGCACTTTCTTTTTTGACTCACACATCGGAAAGATTAAAAAAGAAGTAAACTGAGTATGAAAATCAAAGGTGCCTCATCACAGGAGAAAAAAAAAAAAAAACATAAAACTCAGGTGTGGCACTGACCACTTGACCTCCACCGCATCTGCATTTAAACCAAACACCGGCTCCATCCACGCCGACTCGAGCTACCAGTTTTTTGAACATTAAAACAAATTAAGGCAAAAAGTAATAAAGACTTCACAGTGAATGCCTAACAGATCTGCAATCAGAACCACATTGCCAATGCATGCACGCAATTACACTTTGGAGGAAGCTGAAGCCACATTAATGAGACAGAGGGGGAAAGGAAAAAAAGGGAATGAATTGCCAAAAAAATTTAACTACAGTGACTAAGGGATGATGTAGAGTCCAAGGATGCCAGGCATGACTGAGTGTTCTGCTCACAGAACCCCAGCACAGATCATCTGGCTGTACTTTCAAAGCGTCTATATTTGAAAGTCAAAGGTCGAGCGGAGCGCTCCCTTCTTAGGCTTGTGTGTATGGAGTTCAAGGTTCACATCAACACATGTAAATTATTTCCTAAAGCACTGTACCATTCCTGCATTTGAGACACCAGTGTACAGGTGAAGCACCTCGAAATTCAGTTTCACACTGTGCTGAGTTGACAGCCACCAACCCAGAAGACTGGCAGAAATCCTGTGGCCCAGAAGCCACGAAACCCACAATTCGGTGCCGTGTTTTCACCTGTTCAGTCCATAAAAGGAGCATCTACAGCATCCAGAGGTCAACTGGCCAGCAGTTCAGCACAGACTGTTTCCTGGCCTTAGCCTCATCTGAACCACATGCCCAAAGCAGTCTCACCTCCTCCAGCTTAAACACCGACCCCACATACGGTCGGATGCGCCCTTGCTGGCAGTACTGGAGGGCCGAGGACAGGCTCCTGGAGAAGACGGGAAAGTCCTGGTCTTGGTACCGACCCCAGTACAGGCCCATGGCAGAGATGTTCTTCAGGAGCAGCAGGTTAGCTGGCACGGAGGCGATGTTTCCTCCAGCAAATCCCAGCACCACGATCCTGCCCTCCCACGCCAGGCTGAGGGGCAAAAAAAAAGAACCATGAGATACAATGGCATCTGCCCCCATTAGGATGGCTACTGTAGGAAAAAATAACAACAACAAGTGTGGGGAGAATGTGGAGAAAACTGAAACCCTCACATACCATTGGTGGGATTATAAAACGTGCAAATGCTATAGAAAACAATATGAAGTTTCTTTGGAAAATTAAAAATAGGTGCAGAAATTCCACTTCTGGTATACATGCAGAAAAGTTAAAAGCAGGGTCTTTTTTTCCCCTTTTTTGGTACCAGGGATTGAACCGAGGGGCGCTTAACCACTGAACCACATCCCCAGCCCTTTTTCAAACATTTTATTTAGAAACAGGGTCTCACTAAGTTGCTGAGGCTGGCTTTGAACTTGTGATCCTCCTGCCTCAGTCTTCCAAGCTGCTGGATTACAGGCGTGTACCACCAAGCCCAGCAAAAGCAGGGTCTTGAGATATTCACACACCTGTGTTCATAGCAGCACTATTCACAAATGCCAAGGCACGGAAACAAGCTAAGTATTGTTCCTTGAGTGGTGAATGGACAAAGAAAATTTGGATGTACATATAATGGAATTTTTTTTTAATTTTTTTTTTAGCTGTAGTTGGACACAATACCTTTATTTTATTTATTTATTTTTATGTGGTGCTGAGGATCAAACCCAGGGCCTAGCACATGCTAAGCAAGCGCTCTACTGCTGAGCCACAACCTCAGCTCCACATATAATGGAATATTATTTGGCCTTCAAAAGGAAGGAAATCCTGTCACATGTTTAACTTGGTACCCTCTGGGACATTGTGCTGAGTGAATTAAGTCAGATTCAAAAAGACAAATACTATATGATCACCTAAATGAGGTACCTGAAGTAGTCAAATTCATAAAAACAGAGAGTAGAATTGGGTTGCCAGGGTCTAGGGAGAGGAGGGAAGTGGAGAGTTGTTTAATGGGTGTAAGATTTCATATTTGCCAGACGAAAAGTTTTAGAGATCCATTGCAGAACAGTAAGAATGGACTTAACAACTGAACTGCACAAGAAAAAGAGGATAGGATGGGTAGATTTTATCTTATATGTTCTTCACCCACAATTAAAAAAAAAAAAAAGGAGAATTAACACTGTCCACTGATCCCTAGAGACAAACCATAGAAGAAATGTCTCCAGGGCCTGGGGGAAGGGGAAAGAGGCAGTGCTGACTTAATGGGTCAGAGCCTGTGATAGGGGTCACAAACCCGGTGAGCACATATAGTTACAAGGAACTGTACACTTATAAATGGCTAAAATGCTAAGTATTAGATTATGTATATTTCATCACATTAAAGAAAAAAGCAACTTGTATTAAAGCTATGGCTGGGAACTTGCGTTGACCTTATAAGTTGGAAGACCAACCCTTTACTATCTTGGATTCCTCAGGAGAAAAACGTTTAAATAAGCCGTGAGCGAGATATTAGGGGACTACACTTTCACAAGGGGGCCCACTTTAGGATCAAGAATCTATTTAACCTCCTTGACTCGTTTGTGGGAGGAAATTGGGCAGAAGCAAATGTCCTCCCATGGGCTATACTTCAAGACCAGTTGAAGATTTTAAACTTAGAATCAGGATCAGAAATGAAAGATCACACTTTACACACCCACTTATTGTACGACTCTAGTCATGGTGCTTCTTTGATGAATTCCGAACAATTTACAAAAATTCACAAGTTTTCTACTCTCTGTTATAAAAAGTACCATGCAGTGTACACACGTTACACAACAGGCCATTAAAAACAACTTCTGTAAACATCTTTGCCTGTTTGCTCTTCTTCAGAAGAGAAAGGGAAGCTACTGTCAAAACACAATTATCCGAAGCGGGGCATAATGGTGCACACCTGTAATCCCAGGGACTTGGGAGGCTGAGACAGGAGGATTGCAAGTCTGAGGCCAACCTGGGAAACTTAGCAAGACCCCGTCTCAAAATTTAAAAATAAGGCTGAGGGTGTAGCTTAGTGGCAGAGTGACCCTGATTACAAAGGGAAAAGAAGGGGGGGCTCATTTGGTCCACACTCTTCCTTCGCTTCCCCTCTAAACACAATACCAGGCACCATGCGGTGATCATCAACACGTACACTGCCCGCCTCTCCTCTGCAGGTAGGATAATCTCTCTGCTTCTGTTTCTTTAGCTTTAAACTGAGATAAGTCACAACATGATCTTTCCAGGATGACATGAGAAATAAAACCAGCACTCCCACAATACTCCAAACACTCTGGTTGAAAACACAACGAGAGCACACGGCCTTGGGTTCAATCCCCAGCACCACAAAAATAAAAAAAATAAAAAATAAAAAAAAAGAAAACACAACGAGAACTGGTATGGAAAACAACAGACTTAGCCCCACTAAGTCTCCAGGGTCATAATTTTTAATAGATCAAGGAAACCTTCAGAAGAGCCTGTCCCTTGGTTCACCGTGAACTGGGCAAAGGGAACTGCCACCCTGGGATGCCAACCCTGAACACGGCCTCCTCTGGGACCCTCCACATTCACGCACATGCCGTAGTTAGTGGGGCCCACGGAGCGGAATTCACACATGTATAATTTCTAAAGCACTTGATGTTGCCAACTTGAGAGTCTGCAGTCATTTTTTGGATATTTTCCAGTTGGGTATTTTGTTTTCTGCTATATTTAAGATTTCCTGATTTTCTCTGCTTCTCTTCCCTGTCACCCACTCACTCGGCTATTCTCGTTGATGCTGACGCCTGAGGGGAGAAGCCAACAGCACAAACGACAGAGGAGCAAGGCCAGGAGGAAGACAGGTGCGGGGGGGTCAGCTCAGGCCCCTCTGGGTGGACCACTGCACGCACCCACCTGCGGAGGGCCTCCAGGAAGACCTCTCCTCCCACCATGTCGATGGCCACGTCCACCCCACGGCTGCCCGCCAGCCGCCTCACGGCCTCCTTCAGGCTGCCCTGGCTGTAGTTCACACTGCCCTGCGCGCCCCTCTGCACCGCCAGCTTGCACTTGTCATCGCTTCCGGTCGCAGCGATTACCTACACAAAGAACACAAGGTTCAGGATGGTCAGAACATGCTCCAGGAGGAGCACACCCCATCTCCCCAGCCCGAGGCCAAGGTGCTAGTCACGGACACCAGTACCAGCTTGCTGCCCAAGCATCGGCCCGAATCCACGTGAGGCCCAACAAATGCATTGTTCCCTAGGCCCCTCCATGCCCCACCGGCCATGAGGTCCATCTGGAACCCAACAGTTCTAGGTGGGAGGTGGCTCTAAAGACACTCCAAAAGTTCTCTCCAACTGCCAATGAAAGCCACCGTTTACAGAGCACCCACCACGAGTCAGGTCACAAAGATACAAGTGGGACATCAAGCTCCGTCAAGGGGACAAGGTCCAGCAGTGTGCTGGGGCGGGACACAGGGCTCCAGAAGTAAAAACAAGAGGTATCCAATCTAGACTAGATCAGGAAAGGCTTCCCAGAGGGTAAATCATGATTTGGTGGAAGGATCCTGAAGTCAGAACTTGGTTCAAATCCTGGCTTTGCCACTTACTAGCCGTGTCACCTGGGGCAAATTACTGAGAACTAACATACTGTGTCACCATTTGTCAAGCACCATTCCAAATGATTAACATAAATTAATAACTCATTTAATCACAATAGCCCCAAGGAAATGCTATTAATATCCCTGTTATGGACAGAAGCAAAGGAAGGGAAAGGAGCTGAGGAAGGTCACACACCAACAGGAGGCAGAACTGGGATCCGCGCCCAGGGAACCGTCTCCAGAGTCCTCACATCTAACCTGTGCAGCCTGTCTGCTTCTCCGGGTCTCAGTTACTGCATGGGTTGCTTTTTTTTTTTTTTCCTCCAAAGACTTATTTTTAAAATTAAATGGAACATTGTGTATAAGGCACTTGGAAAACAAAGTGTGAGATAAATCGTATCTATTGTTACATGCAGGCAACCACGTATTCTTCTTAGGACTCAGAAGAACTTTATGGAGGAAGTATAATTACTTCACTCTATGGGCAGAAACAGGGACTCAGGGAGGTTCAACAATCAAGCAGGGTCATCCAGGAAGAAGATGGTAGAACAACAATTCAAAGTCAGGCCTTTCTTCAAAGCCCAGGCTTCCTACTCCATCATCCTAGGAGAAAACGGTGCATAAGGCCCAACATGGACAGCCAAGATGGCTGAGGGCCCTTTGCAGGAATTCCAAAAGAGCTGCAAATAGTCAAGCATCAGCTACAGGTGCCTCATCAGTGAGCAAGGCCACCAGCCTGACTACCTCGCCCTCCAAGTAATGCCCAGGACCTGCACAAACACCCCAAGAATATGGATGCCCTTAAAGAATTCCAAACTCACCTGTAACTATTTGAAACTAGAAGCTACCCTCAAAAGTTCCCTGGTAGTCTCTCAAAATAGCACAGTTCACTGGGGGGGCTAGACTAGGGTCAAGCACCCGATTTCCATCCCAAGACTCTCACTGGGACTCCATGACACCTGCAGTGAATTCTTTTCTCTCTTGGTGGCTCTTTCTCTTCATCTGTGAAACAGGGATAATAAACACTTATATTACCTATCTCCCTGGGGTTTGCGAGGGTCAAGGGTAAGACAATTGCTACAGAGGCACTCTGGGTGCATATGAAATGCTGTGGATGGAAGGTGTTATCAAAGCAACCTCTTCCAAGCAGGTGGTGTGGTAACATTGCTTTTACTTTTATTTTTGCTTACTTCTGTTTAGAACCATTCTCGCTGTGAAAGAAAATATAGCTCAGATTGATTTCAATATCTGAATTAAATCAATTTTTTTTCTATCTAATCTCTCAGAACTATTTGAGACAAATGGTACAATTTTATCTTCCTAGAAGTGTTAAATCTTCGATGACTCTAGACAACGAGACTAATTACGGTCTCTCCCCGAAGAGGAGCTAAACACCCTTCATGCTCACACAGGATGTGTTCACATTTCAAGAAAAGCCTCCTAGTATCCAAGATTGCTCTCCAGATTCACAGGTCCTTCCCAAAGTAACTTCACAGGAAAGGAGACACACCACCTGAAGAAGCTCCAGTCCAATCCAATTACTTCCAAATTTGTCTGTCTAACTGCTACCTCAATATTCCAATCACATGCTCCACGGGAGCCTTGCACTCAACACATCCAAACTGAACTCCCCATTCCCTTCAGGGTTCTCAATTCCTTTTGTGGCAACCCCACACGCTAACCTACTTTGCTCCTTCCCACTTTATGCCTAATAATATTTCTTATTAGACATTCATTAGGGTTCATTTTTAAAAGATTCTTAATGACAGGCCACACCTTCAAATAGGAGCACTGCACGTGTAACTCTCAATATTCCCACAATTATTTTATAAAAGAGGAAACGGATGCTATTAAGAGCTGGAATGAGAACCTCCAGGGGGCTGGCCACCTTTGAAAGCTTTTGTTCTTTGACTACTTGGATGCTCTTTAGTCACCAATCTATTTTTTTCCCACTTGAGTACGACTCACTTCATGGCCTCCACTGCCTGGATTATTCCAGGAGCCCACCCTGCTCCCTGCCTCCATTACCTCTGACCTCGTCCCATCCCTCCTCCCCATGGCTACCAAGTAAAATGCAAAGATGATCCTGTCACTTCCTTACCTGAAATTCTCAATAGCTTCCAACAGCTTCCAATAAACATTCAAAGTTTTCAGTTCTGTGCTAGCTCAGACCTCCTCTCTGCCCACGTTGCTAGAGTCACCTTCCACCACTCCACCCCAAGTCCTTAGTTTGCGATTCTCTAAAATGCACGGTGCCAGTTCCTACTTCTTGGTCTTCTAAAAATGTCCCCCACCACTAGAATAAGGCTCTTCCTCCATTCTTCCTCTATTCAACTGCTGCCAGTCCTCTGGAAGCTGTCTTGAATGTCTCCCTCCTCCAAAAAGCACTCCTTCTCTGATACCCGCAGCCTCAGAGAGATGCCCCTATAGAAACTGGATTCCTTCCTTCATTCTTTTCTCGATTCATTCATTGTTCATTCATTCAAAAAATAGTTCTTGAATGCTTACCAAGTTCCAGGTACCACATGAGGTACTAGTGCACAGTGATGAACCACACAGACACTTCCCTGCCTTCATGGGGTTACAGTCCAGTAGGAAGAGACATTAATCCAATAACAACATGAGAAAAGGTAACCATGCAGTGAGGTGTGTATGAAGAAAGAGAAGTGCAGGGTGTAGTGAGATCACAAACAGTGGGGACAGGAGCCTGACCCCGCCTGAGGACACAGAATACTTCTCTGAAAAGATAACACATGAGTTTAGATCTGAATTGCAGGGGGAGGCGGTTCAGAGAATGACAGGTGGAGAAGATAGCATCTGCAAGGCAGCCCTCGCTGGGTTCCAGTAACTGAAAGGACAAGCAATGTACTACTAGGCTGCTCACCAGGCTAAGCAAACAGATGGCCAGACCCCACTCCCAGTTGCTTTATCTCCTCAGTGCACTGCATATGATTTTTAACAAGTTAAGGAATATATCCCATGTCTAAAACTGAAGGTAGGTTTTTTCATTTTGTTTAATTTTGGTTTTGATTTTTATTTATTATTTATTTTTTAGTTGTAGTTGGACACAATACCCTTATTTATTTTTATGTGGTGCCGAGGATCAAATCCAGGGCGCACACACATGCTAGGCGAGCGCTCTACCACTGAGCCACAACCCCAGCCCTGTTTTGTTTTGTTTTGTTTTGTTTTAAAGTAGAGACTCCAACATGTAAATACCTTGGCTTGAAGAACATTTGTTGCCACATCTATCACTGCAAGGCCCGTGGCTCCAGCTGCTGCCGTTACTAAAACAGTTTCTCTGTGCCAAAGAAAGATGAATGTTACTACAGACACCTTCAAGACTCGTCCAGTAATGACTTCAGGAACATTCTGGAACTAAATATTTTAAAGCAAGAACATTAAGAGAGCATTTCATTCAAACCTTCCTGTACATATGTTCCCCAGTCTTGAGGGGTGGATTACGTATGTGACTTTTAGATCAGTGCTAATCTGATCCAGTTCTGAAGATTCCCCAGGAAAAAGATTCCCCAATCTCTCTAGGTCGCCTCCCCAACTCCTGTCAGGGGCAACTGCTCGTTTGAGCAACCAGTCCAATATATGCTTCAGAAACTCTGCCCTGAAATCATGCTCCTACTAAACACTGCCCAACTTGATGATGGTCAAGTCATGGCGACCACTCACCTGGACCCACAAGTCAGAAGCAATTCTGAGGGTCAGCTCTCTGAAAAGATCAAGAGGCAGTGTCCCAGGTAACACCAGAAATTTCAGCACCGGAGTCTAAAACACTCCACTTGGCACACACCACCGAGCCTTACACCCCACAGGCCTCCAGTAAACCCCTGTGAAGTGAGTTTAAACAAACCAACTCTCCCAATTCTAAGGTTTTCTAGGAAGTACTCTTAAACTCAGGTTTAAGAAAGCTGTGCTTCCAAATTCATACGGGCCAAGTTCACCATCTACCATTCCCTCTCAAAATGATGCCCTCACAGTCACCATACCACAGTGTCCAGTGGTTACCTCCTTTGGCCTTTTCCTCAGCCAAAGTGAAGATGAGCTGAAGGAAAGGGAGAGAAAAGGAAAGAAGGGGCAGGAAGGAGAGAGAAGGGAAGGGACTGGGGAAGGTCTTACTGGGCACTTCTAGGATCAGGGAAGGGTACAACCCAACCCCCTACTGGCTACATAGTCCTTACCTAGGCTGGGTATGGGCCCGATGCTCTAGAGCAAAAATAGCAGTGCCATAAGACACAGGTAGGACGGCAGCTTCTTGTAGGGAGACCTTTTCTGGAACCCGCCACAAGGTCTATAAAGAGATAACAGTGGCTTAGGGATTAGGCACATGTACCTGCAAAGGCTACTCAGGAAATACTGTGGTTTGAGTGACTGACTTGAAATGGGAATAACCAGTGGAAGTCAAGACCAGAGTCCAGGACTTGGGTGCATCAGACCTCAAAACCCTAAGGCTGGCCCCTGGCTCAAAAAGAACCAATTTATGGAGAACAGACCACAACTCGCTGTACTGTAAGAGGTGAATTGTACGGTACATAAATTTCACCTCAACAAAGCCACGGCGGGGGATCGTGTACTGTGCACCATTTGGGGGCACTGCCCACATCTTGGTCCACCACACAAGGCCACCATGGCTGGCTGTATTCCCAGGGCTATCTCTTTCATAAGCTTTGTCAGGGGAAGAAGCCCATTATATCCAGCTCAATGCGCCCAACCAGTTTTTCTACCAAAACTACCTATGTTCCAACTGGACTGCCAGCCAATTGCTCAGGCACTCCAGAAACAAAGTGCCCTTCTTCATGAAAACACTCCACACAAACAAAGCTCTGTGCAAAGGTTGTCAAACCAATAAAGAGAAGGGATTTAGCACTGGAGGAAAAAAAAAAAGTAGTTGGCTGAGAAACAAGATCAAACAAATGCAAAGAAATGGGGAGTGAGGAAGATGAGGAATGAGGGAGGGGTGGAAATTAAAGGAAACAAAGGAGGAAAACCCTCCAAGCATTGATCTGGAGAGAGGGCTACCTTCTGGTCAGCGATGCATTCTTCAGCCATCCCATTAAAGCCACTCACACCAATGACTCGATCTCCCTGAACGGAAAACAACAACAGGGTATGTTCAAATGCATGGCCTTACATTCACCTCTTCCTGAATCAGTCAAGGTATAAAAGAAAAATGCCCATCTCTGGCCCACAAGACATAGGCTGGCCTTCCTATCTATTCAGAGTTAATGTTTAGTAAATAAAACAACAGCTCTCTCAATGCTGCCACCCAGTTTCCAAGCCAATCTGAGCATATTCTGGACAAGAATGGGGTATGGTAAGGAAAAGGTGGGTATGAATTAGAATCCCCGTGTGAACGTCTATCATGTGAGGCTCAAACTTGAGAATTCATAATGAAGAGTTTAATGAAGCCAGAAACTTCCACCCAACTCCTTCCCCCCAGTTCAGAACTCTCTCTATTTTCTTATAGTGTCTGCTGACAAAGGCCAGGAGAAGCAAGACCTTTGGGGCACAAATGAGATTAGCACATTTCTCATAGCTACATACACAGTCGATTCTCTGGATTTCAACTCATTTACCTCTTTCACTGAGCTGACATCCGCGCCTGTCTCCAGTACTGTCCCAGAAAACTCCATTCCTAAAACATGGTTGAAAGATTAGATTATCTGTAAAACTCAGCCCCATGGCAATGAGAAGACCTTGATTATCAGGCCATCCATCAGCTTTTAGGAACTGATAAGGTCTTAAGTACCATTACTTTTACCTAGCAGTGTGAAAAGCATACTCAAAGCACAGGAAAGTGAGCATAAGATGTCATTATCACACCCTGGAAACCTGTGGCAGTCCCAGGCTTGACTGTGATGTGTAAAGCACAGAGTGTCAATATCGCAGGTACACAGCAACTTTTGACCCTGATCACTGGGGCCTTAGGCTCCTAGAGCTCCCAGTTACCGTGTTTATCATATCTTATTTATCTGTTTCTACGTCTCCTTTGCTGGTGTGTGGCCCTCCAGGACATGAACTGTTTATTCAGACAGTACTGGCTCAACTGGATGAATCAGGGTTGCGTGCCCTTTCTTCTCCCACATCTGATATTTCTGAATTTAATGATCATGCATTTCCTACCTGACCTGCCAGGAAATAACTCAATTGTGTGTGACATCTTTCCCCTATTCAACATTTTAGCTAATACAAACAAAAGGAAATGGTTCCAAATGTTAAGGCAAAATCCAATACCTTCAGACCAAAACATGGCAACTATTTTGCAATCACTGAACTCTCAATAATATGTATATACATAAGATATAATGTAAATATGCTAAGCTCTATCTATATCTCTTTAAAGCAACTTGAACAACAAAAATCAGTCATTGTCCATGATCTAGAAGTAATGAGATTGGGAATCGTGAAAATCAGACACTGGGTCACTAAACAGGGTAAACTGTTTTTCTTCTTTTTGATCCTCTCGCATTAGGTTTCACTAGGCGTGTGCTTGTGAGACTGAAAGTCTTAGATGCTTGTGATGGTTCAATGAAAAAACAAGAGGCACTGTCAAGGAAGGAATGAGCATGATGAGGGGATCGATGTTTCTCATGAGCAGAATTCTGGTGGACATAATGACGTGTAAACATTTATCTGTTCATTTATTCATTTTAAAGTTTTTACTGAGCATCTACTCTGAGCCAGGTACACAATGGTCCCTAAGCTAGGGACACAATGTTGAGCAAGACAGATATAGAAACTACCCTGCGGGGGTGGGGGTTACACTCTAGTGGTTTCAGCAATGATGCTGACATATCTTAACAGAAACCTCGCCAAGGACAGGCAAACACCACAAGAGCAGTGTCTGGGAAGATGCATGGGGTTCTGAAAACCCTCGGAATCTTCTTTTCTTGAAGCAGCAGTCACCTGGTCCCCCATACTCACCAGGTGTGAAGGGAAGAGGGGGCTTCTCCTGATATTGGCCACGACAGACCAAAATGTCAGCAAAGCTGACTCCACAGAAATGGACCTCAACTCTGACCTGCAAAGGGAACAGAGCAGCAAAACAGAGCAGGACACATTCTGGAGACAAAGTTCACTTGATTATTCAAACAGATTTACTGAAGAAATAAAAGCCGTATGCAGGCACTGAGCCAGAGGACAATCACGAGGTGAGGCGAAACAGACAAGTTTCTGCCTTCAGGGAGCAAAAAGGACAGTAAAGAAGACATGAAGATGATATTGTTATATTGTGTGCATGTAAGAATATGTAACAACAAATCCCACCATCAAGTACAACTATAATTCACTCATTTAAAATGTGGGAAAAAAACATATGAGACAAAATCATAATGAAGCCATATGTCAAATCATAACTCAACACAAAGTGTTAAAAGGAATAATATGTAATGCTGAGAAAGTCTATCCTGGCAGGATTTGACTTCTTGGGGAAGTCAAGAAAATTTTAAAAAATAATCCTTGAGCTAATTAACAACTCAGAGTTAACTGTTCAAAGCAGGAGGAAAAAAGGTTGGCAAAACAAAAGCAATGACATGTGCAAAGGCCCTGCATCAGAGACAAAAAACAGCAAGCTTAGAGCACAAAGAGTTGGAGGGAAGCATAGAGAGGGAAGAAAAAGGAAGAGAGAAAAAAGACCACACCACACAAATGTTTGAAGGTTTATATTGAGGATTTTGGCCTTCATTCTAAGAGCAGCAGAAAACCATTAAAATGTCTAAATAGAAAATTAACACGACAGACCATTCTATCATGTCAGAATCTGGAATCCTGGAGGCTGGCCTACACACACCCCCTCCTGTCTTCTATGGCAGCCCCATAATTGAGGCAGAACTACAGTGGTGAGCCAGTGGTTCTGGGCCACCAGCATCAGCATCACCTGGAAACCTGTCAGAAATTCCTATTCTTAGGCCCCATCCCAGATCCTGCCAAAGCAGAGACTCTGGAGACAAAGCCCAGCAATCTGTTTTAACAAGCCCCAGGTGGTTCCGATGCACCCTGGAGAACTACTGTGGTAGGCAACACATCCCTACAGGGGTTGGAAACGGAGGAGGAAATGAAGGCTGAGACACCAAATCAATATGTATCTGTGTGTTTAAATTTAGCACAGAGGTTGCCCTATTGGTGAGAAGACATTTTTATCTACAAAAAAAAAAATTCATTCATTCAGCAATCTAAGCATCTGTCACATGCCAAGCACCAATCTACAGTAAAGAGATTTAATGGTGGATAAAAAGAACATAATTGCAGGTCTCATGAGCTAATGCCTTACAAAGTAATGTCTGGACAAACAGAACAAAGGAACCCAGCCCTCAGCCTGCACACACTGCGCGCATGACACATTGTCCATTAGTTATTGACAAGCATCCTGCACACGTGCTCCTCAAAGCCACTCCACATTGATCTGAGACTGACCCAAGGATGAGCTCTCTCAGCATGAGAATCCCAGGAAGCAGTCTGGCTGCCATCTCCAGCTCTTCCAAATAATCCATTTAGCCGCAGGCTCCACCTTAGAGTCGCTTCAGCCCTGCAGCTGCCTTTCTCCCTCACACTCGTGGTCCCCAGACACTGAGGCTCACCACTGGTTTCCCCCGGCACAGATTCTCATGCTCCACAGTAGTAACATTATGTTACCAGAATGGCCAACAGGCAAGGCCAAAGAGACTTCCACATTTCAGTGAAACTGCCCTCTGGCCTTAACTAATCCATCCCAAATCACTGCAGTACCCCAGAGAGGAGCGTAAGGGTTTGGGGTAGATGGAAGGGCAGTTAATTTGACAGGACACTGAAAAGGAACAAAGGACAAGAGAGGGTCCGTTTATCTGTTACATCAGTAACTGGCAGGTGTTTGTGCAGTCGTGTGCAAATCAGTTTTCTGTTTCTAAGGAAACAGATGTGGAATCTTCAGAAAGAGGCCTACACGTGTGTGCTGGGGAACAATCTTCCTTAGCGCTTTGACCCTTTCGTGAACCTTGCAGGGGCTTGACCTTCTAGCCCTGGGACCAAGTTGCGCTGCAGTCTCTCGGTCGCCCCCTAGCTTGGGAACTGGGAACCTGACTCAGGCAGGACGCTTGCCGTGTGTCACGGGGGCCCAGGGACTGGCCAGCCACCCTACCTCGTGGGGTCGGACAGGGCGGCGGGCCACCTCTTCAATGGCCAGAGGCTGCTTCAGCTCGGCGCAAAGCGCGGCGCGGTAGTGCCGGCCACAGCCCTGCCCAGCTCTCCTGCATCAGGGAACAGGGGCTGGTCACTCAGGCCGCCCTCGGGCGCACCCCGGGGCTGCCTGTAGGGTGGGGGAGTCAGCACGGCACCTGCAGAGCCACGTCCCAGGGAGTGACCGTCTGCAAAGCAGCGCCGCCATGGCCGGCAGACTGGACGCTAGAGGGAGTGGCCAGAGCGCTGCAGGAAGACCGGACACTGCGGCCACGCCCCGCCCCGGGAGCGGAAGGCATCCGGGACACGCCCCGCGCCCGCCGGGACTCTAGCAGGCGGGGCGGTGGCCGTGGCTCTGCAGCTGCCCGCTTGTAGCTGGGGCGTCCTAGTCCCTTCTTCCCCCAGGCCTCCCTGAACTTGGAGCCCGCCAGAGGGGAAAATGGAAAAAAACGAGCAAAAAGAGTTAGATCATCCTTCGTTGTCATTTTCGTAGCAGATTTGGGAGAATTTTAAAATCACATTTGGCAACAGTTAATTAGCGGTTCTTGGGTCCTCTGCACGAAAGAAATCCCAAATTCACAGCTGCGCGCGCTGCCCCACGCCCGTGATCCCAATTACGGGGATTGCTGAGGTTGAAGCAGAAGGATTGCAATTTTGAGGCCAGTCTCAGCAGTTTAGCGAGATTCTGTCTCAAAAATAAAATTTAAAAAAGGGGTGAGGATGTAGCTCAGAGACAGAACACTTTTCGTTGATTCTCCAGTATCACAGAAGATAATAGGAAACTCTGAATTCATAGGTAAAGCCTTTGATGTTTGCATTCGAACACCTTGCTAGGGTTCAATTCTTGTTACTAATTTTCTCACACAGGATCAATTACACTAAAACTTAACTGTTACTAATGATCAGATATTGAATAAACCTACACAAATTCAAAGAGTATTACCAATGAATGTCAGGCTAAAATCTAGAGATTTTCACGTTCCCAAAGCTTATATTATGTCTGCACTTAGTAGACGCTCGGTAAATATTGATTCAGTGACCACCTAGATGCAGAGGCACACTCTTGGAGAACTAAAACAAAAGCATTATCTGTGAAATATTAAAATTAAGTGGACCTCTAACAGTAATCATCTATTTATATATTAGCAATATATAAAAGGCACATGCTTATCACTAGACTGTAGCATTTAAAGATAATAACAAGTCTTTAAAAGACATCTGGTCAAAGGGTTTATGGATCTTAGGTTCAGGTTCAAATCCAGCTCTCTATCTATTTGTGTGGTTTTGGCATTGACCCTTGGTGTTTTTTTTGTTTTGTTTTGTTTTTTTGGGGGGGAGGGACCAGGGGTACTGGTGATTGAACCCAGGATTTGCTTTACCACTTAACTACATTCCTAGCCCTTTATATTTTTTTTTATCTGGAGACAAGGTCTTGCTACATTTTTAAGACTGGCCTTGAACTTGGGATCCTCCCAAGCTGCTAGATTTCCGGACATATGCAATAGCATCTGGCTACCCTTTGTGACTCTTGATGACCTCAGTAACTCTTCCATCAAAAGAATGCACTGGGGTTGTAGTTCAGTGGTATGGTGCTTGCCTCAAATGCATGAGGCCCTGGGTTTGGTCCCCAGCACCACATAAAAAATAAGTAAACAAATAAAAATAATGTGTCCATCTACAACTAAAAAAAAAAAAATTAAAGAAAAAGGATGCACTGGGCAGGCATGATCAGGAATGGAATAAAGGAAAAAGTGGAGATCACAAATGAGGTAGAAATGACTTCCAAAGTACGGCCTAAAGGCTTTGAGGGCAGCGAATCTAAGAGCAAGTACCCACCTTGGTTATACAGTAGAGGTTATTTTTATTTTAAAAGCACTCACAGGGAATTTGAGGAGTCATTTTAACCCCCGCTGCAAGAGAAAAGAAACAGTGACTAGAAGGTAAGATGAAAAACACTTCAGTTCACAATTCAACATGAAAGCATTCTCATTTTGTAAACTGTTAATCATTAAGCACCTGAAATGAAACCAGGGAGTTGGGTTTGTGGCTCAGTGACAGAACCCTTTCCTAGCACACCTGAGGCTTTGGGTTCCATCCACGGCATGGTAGAATGAAGAAATCAGGAATAATGGAGACATACTAACACTGTCAAATCAACATGAACATCCTTGGGCCGGGGTGTAGCTCAGTGGCCGAGCACTTGCCTAGCATGTGTAAGACCCCTGAGTTCAGAACCTAAGGCCCCAGCATTCTGGTATCCAAACAATGAACAATAAGAAATCTCAACTTTATGACCTATGAAACTACAGTTGATTGTTCTAAGAATGAAATGAGTTGTTACTTATGGAAAGCGTTTTGTGAAATATTTAGATATATTAATACCTTATTAAGATGTTAATATAAGGATAAAGCAAGAATATTTAATTGAGCTCCTTAAAAGCAGCAACTATTTCGTAATCTCCTGTATGTTTATAGTATTTGCATAATACCTGACACTTTTAGGCATTTAATAGATATTCTCTCATGAAGTGTTAATGAGTGCTCAGTTACCTAGTATTAATTTTCCAGATAATTGGAGGTATCTTTAAGCATCAAGTCTTTTATTTTTAATTAAATGTTTTTATAGAAAAACATTATGATTTTTCAGAATAAACTTTTCATTCTCTGGGAATATGAAAGATCAATAAGTGTGGAGAAAAATCAATCAATACTTCATTCTACATTTATGAAAATATCTGAAGAACATAGTAAAAATCCCTTTAAAAAGGATCTTGAAGGGAGATGAAAGTATTTTAGGTAATTGAGGTGATTTAAGCATTTATATGCAAAATAAATTTCACAGTTTCAAAGAGCAGTCCAAGGCAAGTGACAAGGTATTTAATAGTAGTTGCTATAGTAGCAAAAGAAATATTTAGCTTATCCATCAAAGTGCTGCCACCACACCTGACTGCCTACTTTTGGTCATTGTTCCTGGCTATTTGGTTTCATTGAGGGATGGAAAGTGGAGACAAACCAAATAAAATTTGAATTCTGGAAGGAACTAAGCTCAAGCAGCTACATCAGGACTGATCAGTTCTCTGGAAAGGAAAAAAAAAAAAAAGTGAAAAGGGATCAATAGCCGCCCTGCAAACCAGCTTGAGGGCTCATTAAGGAAGTAAAAGAGTAACAGATGAGTCTTCCTTCTGGTACAACTCACATGGAGAGATAATATTTAACATCCAGAAGCTGCTGGAGGGCGGAGGGTGGAGAAGCCAGACAAAGCTGAATACACAAACAGCTATGTTTTCACAGAATAGTAGACAAACCACACACAAACAATATAAGCACCATACAGAACCGCACTGGGAATGTGCACGTATCCTCTACCATTAAATCCTTCCCCAGTAGAAGCTCAGCTCCTTCAGAAGAGAAGCTATCTCCATAGCCTCCCAGTTCACCATGGAGTCTAGCACACAGCAGGTACTCAGTAGTGGTTAGGAAGGTTAGGAAGCAAGGAGCCCTAAAAACTGTAGAGGAGAGGTGTCAGTGCAACGTAACTATCCAAAGCCACAAATCCAGAAAACTGTTGAGGTTTCTTACACTTATTTCCTTAAATTTACCGTCACTGAGCATAATCTGATCTTCCTTTGATCTAAGTCAGTATTGCCATTAGAGGCAATATTTTTTTTTAACTTCAGAGACATTTTAGCCATTGATCTACATAATAACGCATATTGACCACCTTCTCCATTCCAGGAACCGTAAGATTTGCTATGAGTCATTTGTTCCAATAGTCATGGAGTCAGAATTTCTGAGTTGGGATGGATCTTCAAGATCATCTAGTCAAAGTGGTTCATTTAAAAAGAAAGGAAGGAAGGAAGGAAAAGAAAAGGCAAAGGCTCAGAGAGAGAGAGAAGAGGAAGTGGGGCGGGGATTGCCCAAGATCAAGCTGCTAGATGGTAGCAAGTGTGGCATTAGATTAATTAATATTGGACTTTTTTTAAATTTTTAGTTCCCTGCTCTTTCTACCATGCTTGTTGGATCTCACTCCTCGGCAGCGTACACAAGAATAATATTTCATGTTTTCATAGTGTTTCACAGGTTTCAAGTCACTGTCACTAAATTCCTTCATCCTGCTAATGATGAGAATAATAATAATTGTCATCACAACTAGCACCTGTGGTTACTTATAACAAGCCGGTTAGTTACGGAGTACTTTTGCATGATTTCTTTAATCCTTTCAAAGGTCCTATAACTAGGATACTATTTTTTTCACCCTCTTATAGATCAGGAATATACGCTTAAGGAGGTTAAGTAACTTGCCGAAGGCCACACAGCTAGGAAATGGATCAGTTTAGCATCATCCTAATTGCCTGGTGCCAGAGCTCCTCCAACAGTATCCGGCCGCCCACTGTGCTTCCCTCACAAATGCCCTCTGGAGCAGACAAAGAAGGTATTATACAATACATTTTAAAGCCTTTCTTTGCTTGTAGGTTTAAGCTTAATTTTATGGGAATTTTACAGTCACTCATGCCTAGAAAATAGATTAATTCCCTGAAGGAGAGAATGGAGAAAGCCGTCTCCAGGGAGGCTCCCAGTGAAGGGACAAGGGCAGGAAGAGATGCTAACACATAATTAGGAGCTCCTGACCCATTCCATATAGCCATGAGCCTGAAAGTGCATTGATTTCACTTAAATTTAAAGTATATTATATGAGATTAAAAATGTGATTATGTAAAGTAGTTTTCACATATGCACACGCACACAAATATGATTTTAATGAACCAATATGCTGACTCGGTTGCCTGGTTACTAGTTGTCACTTATGCAGGTACCAGCAGGCATTTGGAGCTAAAATTCTGGCACCCAGATGGGACAATTTGGAAACGGTGGTGACCTGGGGAATGGCTGTGGTGGCCCTAAAGCTAACCACCAGTATTTGATGCAGGAAACTATTTTCTACTTTGAACCTTCATTATGGAACCAGTTAACAAATCCCTAAGCATTCTGGCAACTTTATGAACCCTTTCCAGCTCTCACCTCCCCCAGAGGGAACAAATTCTTCCCTTCCATATGTCCCCAAGAGAACTTTATACAAACCTGTATTAGCGCACTAATTGTTCAGGTAGCATTCATCTGTTTCTCTATCTCCACAGCTAAGCTGTGAGCATCATGGATGACTCTGAGGATAGCATAGCAAAGCAAAAGGAATTTGGGTTGCAGAATCAGATATACCTACATTCAAGCCCTGGCTTAGCTA